CTTCCACATATGACTCCATTTGAGGGAAAAAAAATAGATACATGTAATACAGAAATCTGATCCCAAATCTGTTAGAGAGAAATGGATAAAAACTCATTTTAAACTACAACTGGTCAATCATCCAACATGTCAAGACCAATCTGAAATTCAGGTCGTTGACCAAACTGGATCCAGCCCAAACACATCGACTCCGATCGAAATCCCTCCCACAGGCGTGAGCGCAACGGGTCAGCGTAGTGTCGTCTCTAGCACTCGCATCGCCTCTGGCCCCACTTGCGCTGCCATACACTTTTTGTGTGTCATTTTCCAACCCACACAATTATGTGTACTATATGATTGATCACCTAACTCATTTTATTGGGATCTTAGTTTGCATTAAGATTGTCTCACTACGCTATCAAGCTTCTCAAAATATGACAGTTTTTACGTCGGTTGATTGAAAAAGCTAAATGTTTTTTATTTAAATCTTTGATTCCGTTTTTACAAATTACTTTTTATTTTCCATTTCTTTTAGGTATATAACATTTTTTGTTGAAAATTTTCAAAAAATGCCACTTTACAAAAATACCACACTTTTGAAACTTTTACAAAAATGCCACTTTTTCAAAATTATTTTTTCTTTATATTATTTATATTTGGGTTAATTATGTTGTATTAAGGTTTACTTAAGATGGTTTAAGGGTCAAAACATTTTTTAGTGTTTAGAATTTTGAGATATAAGGTTTAAAAATCTATAATTAGTGGTATTTTACAAATGAACATCTCTAAGTGACATGTTTGCAAATGTGCACATAAAAAATGGTATTTTTGCAATTTTTCCATATTTGTTGAGTAATAAATTTTAAATTTTAAAAAATAATTGACACTGAAGAAAGCTACCCATGATTAAGTACATTACATATAATTTGGAGTTGGACCAAGCTGTTTTATTTTTTCTTCGGTCAAAAGAACTTTTTGATAGTAAGTCGACAAAAATCTCAGAGGCTTTTTTTATCACATCAATCCTATCCTCATCCGTTCGTGTTCAAACGTCTGATTCCAAAAGTGACAAAGAAAAGAAAAAACGGTATTTTCATGATTAAATGTAGGGAAAACATATTTGACCGAAAGTAATAAAGAAAATTATGCCAACACTATTTTTATTAGATAAATAACAAAAATAAATTATAAATGTATTACGATCATGTGAATGTTGGATCGGTCCAAAAAAACAGAAAAAAAGTTTGATAAACAAATACAGGAATAATATTTGAAAAAAAAAGTTTTGCGAAACAAACTAAAAAATCCTAACGACAATAAAAAAATCCATAGAATTACTTAAAAAAGAATAATAAAATAACTAAACGCAAACACTACAAAGAAGGTATCTGACGGCTGTGAGAAGATTGGACATAGTAATGGCTAAGTTGGCATTTGATGTATATCATTGTAATTTCAGACGTTGAAACTCTCTCTCTCTAACAGTGGTAACTGCCTATTGGCTTGGTCTCCTTTCGCGGGCTTGCTTCAAGGCCACATGCATTTGTTGGCGTTATAAAGATCAGTAAAATAAAAGCGTTATAAAGGAAGAATATTAAAACGTTGGCCATTTAAGATATTTGTAGAGATTCATAGTTAGAAGAACTATTATGGTTTTATTCACACATGCAATTGACATCTTTTTTTTCGTCTTATAACTCAAAGCACTATAATATGATTAACAGAATCTTGTGGTTAATATTCAACTATATCTAGTTATTATATTAATTAATTTTCGTAGTCAATAAAGTAATTATACAAGTATTCAATTTCATGTCCAGTTACTCACCTAACTCGGTAACTCAATTTTTGTAGGTTAGATCTAAATGATAACTTAAATAGTGTGCAAGCCATAATCATTTTATTTTCAAGTTCTAAAGTTATCAGTATAAAAACATGCATTAAGGAGAGATGTAGATAAAGAACTACTATAACTTATGAAGAACGTCACTATAATCCTAAAACCCTATCTATCGGACCACGAAATTTTTTTTTGGATAACCCATAATTCCAGCAACAGAACTAATCATACATGGATATGAAACTGATATAAAAAGAAAAATATCATTATCATAAAGAGCGAATGGATAAAAACTTCTCTGTAGAAGTACAAGAGGTGAAAATCGTATCTTATCAAACAAATTTGAGAAACAAAATAGAAGAAATTGATGATTTTTTTTTGTTTTTGGTGGTCATTGGTTTCTTTATATAAGTTAAGGGCCGAGTGTAAATTTTCTTCGATATTATATAAAGGATATGTGATATCCTATCTTTTCTATTTTTTTGGAAAAACTTATAAAGAAATCTCCAACTTTTTATAGAAATTCATGAAAAAAACTCTTGTTGGAGATGCTCTACGTTCGTGACTTGTTGACTGAAAACAAAAGTATCTTGTTCAACTTCATGATTTGAAAAAGGCTTTTGGTTAAACAAACTTTCAACTTTGAATTTAGTTTTAATTTTGTTTCTATTTTGAATTAATAACATCAACATTATTAATCAGCCATAATTTGAGGTGCGAATGTGCTCGACAACTTTTATGTTTCTTTCTATTTTAAAATTTAAACGTTGATGTATATTCCCCTTTTTGTAGCCCATCCTAGCACTTTTTATCCCTTTTACATCTAGTACAAAGAATAATGCACATTGCCTTTTTCTTATATAACCCTCTTAGATTTTATTTATCTTTTTTTTTTTTGGATAACTGATTTTATTTATGGGAAATTGGCTAAAATAACCTAAAAAAAATTATATTTCATTAACTAACCAAATGGTTTTAATTTAATGGCTCCTATTTTTCCACATCATACTATTTTCATTAGATTGCTATTATAATTTTTCTTTGGTTATTGTTGTAAATCAACCTTTTATTTATCTAAGAAAAAAAAGAAGACAAATATGACTATTTTAATCTTTCTAATCAAAGGTCATCATTGATCCCCTCTAATATATTATTGTTTCACATGTTTTACAGCTAAGGTTCGAAGCAAATCACAATCCTTAAGAACAACACATTCATCACAAGAGCATATATACATATTCAACCACCTCATGCTATAATTGAGCAAATAAACAAAAGCAAACATGTCTACTTCTCATTACCTTCATCATTACACTCCACATCTCATTACCACACTCTTCTTCTTGTTTCTTAACTTTTCTTACCTCCACGCAAATGAACTTGAGACTCTCTTATCATTCAAATCCTCAGTTCAAGACCCTCTAAGACACCTCTCTTCTTGGTCTTACTCTTCCACTAATGATGTGTGCCTTTGGAACGGCGTCGTTTGCAACAACTTATCTCGTGTCGTCTCTCTCGATCTCTCCGGAAAGAACATCTCCGGCAAGATCCTCACTTCCGCTTCTTTCCGGCTACCTTTTCTACGAACCATCAACCTCTCCAATAACAGCTTTTCCGGACCAATCCCTCACGACATTTTCACCACTTCATCTCCTTCTCTTCGTTACCTCAACCTAAGCAATAACAACTTCTCTAGCTCAATCCCTCGAGGCTTTCTTCCAAATCTTTACACGTTAGATCTTTCCAACAACATGTTCTCCGGTGAAATATCCCATGACATGGGATTTTTCTCTAACCTTAGAGTCCTCGATCTCGGTGGGAACGTTTTAACCGGCCATGTACCGGCCTCTCTTGGAAACCTGTCCAAATTAGAGTTCTTAACGTTGGCCTCAAACCAGATAACCGGAGGTGTACCGGCGGAATTAGGGCTGATGAAAAATTTGAAATGGATATACTTGGGATACAACAATCTCTCCGGCGAAATTCCTTACGAACTCGGTGACTTAACCTCTCTCAACCACCTTGATCTCGTCTACAACAATCTCTCCGGACCCATACCTCCTTCACTAGGAAACTTGAAGGAGCTTCAACACATGTTTCTATACCAGAACAAGCTCTCCGGTCAGATCCCACCTTCCATTTTCTCCCTCCAAAACCTTATCTCTCTCGACTTTAGTGATAACTCGCTATCCGGAGAGATCCCTGAGCTCGTGGCTCAGTTGCAAAGCTTGGAGATTCTCCATCTCTTCTCTAATAACCTATCCGGAAAGATTCCACAAGGTGTAACGTCTTTGTCACGTCTACAAGTTCTTCAGCTGTGGTCCAACAGATTTTCCGGCGAGATTCCAGCGAATCTTGGGAAACATAACAACCTCACTGTTCTTGATCTTTCTACCAACAACCTCACAGGAAAACTCCCTGACACTCTCTGTGACTCTGGTCACCTCACCAAACTCATCCTTTTCTCTAACTCTCTCCACGGTGTAATCCCACCGAGTTTGGGCGCGTGTGAGAGCATAGAGCGCGTGAGACTTCAAAACAATGGCTTCTCAGGCGAGTTACCACGAGGGTTCACTGAGTTGCAACTCGTTAATTTCGTGGACTTATCAAACAACAACCTCAGAGGGAACACGGGTACATGGGATATGCCACAGCTTGAGATGTTAAAGTTGGAAAAGAATAACCTTTCCGGTGAATTACCGGATCTTTCTAGAAGCAAGAGACTCAAGAAGCTCGATTTATCAGGGAACAAGTTCTCTGGAGTGGTTCCCCTTGGACTCACGACGTTCCAAGAGCTTATGGATTTGGATTTAAGTGAGAACGAGATCACGGGAGTTATCCCAAGTGAGTTGTCTTCTTGCAAAAACCTAGTGAATCTTGACTTGAGCCACAACAATCTTACCGGAGAGATCCCTTCGAGTTTCTCGGAGTTCCTGGTTCTCAGCGATCTTGATCTGTCTTGCAACCGATTATCCGGTGAAATTCCAAAGAATTTAGGGAACATCGAGTCTCTTGTTCAAGTCAACATCTCTCATAATCTTCTTCATGGAAGCTTACCATCAACGGGAGCTTTTCTTGCCATAAACGCAACAGCAGTCGCCGGTAATAACGATCTATGCGGCGCAAATAACTTCGCTGGTTTACGTCCTTGCAAGGTTGTAAGAAAGAGAAGTTGGTGGTTTGTCGTCACTTCAACCTTTGTAGCTTTCTTGGCCGTTCTCGTCTCCGCTTTCTTTATCGCTCTCGTCTTTCGAAGGACGCATAACGTTTTAGAGGTCAAGAGAATGGAACAAGAAGATGGTACAAAGTGGGAAATTCAATTCTTCGATTCAAGATTCATGAAGTCCCTTACGGTGAATGCGATTCTATCATCTCTCAAGGAACAAAGCATTCTTGCGGATAAAAACGGCGTCCAGTTCGTTGTTAAGGAAGTCAAGAAGTATGTTTCTCTTCCCGAGATATCCGAACATAGGAAACTTCCGGAGCACAGGAACATTCTTAAGCTGGTGGCGACATGCTGGTCCGAAAAAGTGGCCTACTTGATACACGAGGACGTCCAAGGGAAACCACTGAGCCAGAGTTTGAATGGTTTGAGTTGGGAGAGACGGAGGAAGATTATGATGGGAACTGCAGAAGCTCTTCGATTTTTACATTTCCGGTGTTCTCCGGCGGTTTTTGCCGGTGATTTATCGCCGGAGAGTATCGTTGTCGACGTCAAAGATGAACCAAGGCTCTGTCTTGGTCTTCCGGGCCTAATTTGCATGGATGCTGCGTACATGGCCCCAGGTGTGAGATTGCAATATCTCTCTTTTTTTTTTTGTGGTCGTGATTGCAATATTTATGTCACAAATTTTGAAACTTGTTATATATGAAGATATATTCTTTTATATGTATTTATAGGTTTTTTTATTTTTCGTTTTATAACGTAGAAACGAGGGAGCACAAGGAGGTGACAAGTAAGAGTGACATCTATGGTTATGGAATCTTTCTCCTTCATCTCCTCACCGGTAAAAGTCCATCCGGTAATGAGGACATAGAATCTGGAGTCGACGGAAGTTTTGTCAATTGGGCAAGATGTTCATATACCGATTGCCATATCGATAAATGGATAGACTCATCCATCGACACGTCAGTACATCATCACGAGATTGTCTATGTCATGAACTTAGCTCTCAAATGTACCGCCATTGATCCACAAGAGAGGCCTTGCATCAAGAATGTGTTGAAAGCATTAGAGTCTACCTTTACTTCAACTTCTTTTTGTACTACTTATTTTCCCAAGATATTATCGTTGGCCTGATAATTTTGGCTTCGCTTGCTTCGTTAAGTATTTTTGTTAGGTACTTTTCTTGTTTGATTTATGTAACTTATTTCTTCTTTTTTGTTGGGTTTAATTACCCAAAAAGAATGTCTATCAAGATGGTTTTGTTTATCTTATCACGTGATGGTTAATCTCGTTTGACAAAAACAAACGAACCGTCAAAACTGCCGCACATTGCATCTTATTATTGGGGTTGCGCTGTTTTTACCTAGCAAAATACTTGTCTTTAACCTATCACTTTCTTGTATCAAAATCTTAACGAAACAGCGATAAAACACCATCTTTGGATCTATGTTCTTGAGTTTATACTTAGAAGTTTCAGTTCCCTTAAATTTTCTAACCAAATTTAGTTGTCCGAGTTTCAACTCTAATACTCATCCTAATTTTCTTACTCGATCCGTTCTTAGTTTTTCTATAAAATCATCTTCTTCATATCCTCGTGCGTTAGCGGAACCTTCACCCATCGTTGCCAATGATCAAACTTTCCCTTACCATCAAAACGTGGAATCTTAAACTTAAGAGAACGGCCAAAGATGAAAGTTTCCCTTATCGTCCCAGAATTACTGCCTTAACGTGGCTCTAATACCAAATGTTGTGAATTTGACCAAGAAGAATAAAAAACTATAACAAATTTAGAGAGAAAAATGAATCAAGGCGAAGAACTTTTATTGGTTTATAAAATTAATAGTGTGAATTATTATCTTGTTGACAAAAAAAAAAAAAAAATTAATAGTGTGAATGAATAATTATCAATCCTTATGATCATAGCCCCAAAATCTGATACATCTAAGAATAATTCTAACTGTAAGATATACCGTC